TGTTGCAATTGTTATATATGGATGTTGCAAAAATCGATCAGGATGTTGCATATGTGGCATATTAAGTGTTTTTAGTGGTATGTTGCAAGTGTTTTGAAGAAAATATTTCATCTGTTTCAGACGTATGTTGCAGCAAATGTTTTATCTGGATGTTGCATGTGTTTCACACATATCTTGCAAGTGTTTTTTCTTGATGTTGCATATGTTTCACACACATATTGCAAGTTTTTTTATCTCGATGTTGCATATGTTTCAAACAAATGTTGCAATAGTATGTTTCATCTGTGTCTGACACATGTTGCATCCAAGTATTTCATGTTGCAAGTGTTTCACGGGAGCACGTTGAGTGATGGGCGCAGCGGGGGATGGGGCGCGTCAGAGCTGGGGACCGGTCCCCCGCCCACGCGGAAAGATAGGAGGGGGTCAGGGGGAAGGAGTGGGACGCAGCGGGGGGAGGGGGTGCGAGGCAAGTGCGGGCTGCACAGCCATCCATCCAGACGCTAGGAGCGGCGGGCGCAGCGTCACGTGCAAGTTGAAATGAGACGGACGGATGCGAGCTGCATGGACGTCCGAACATCCGGGCGCTAGCCTCGTGGTTTTCCCGGGGCGTGACTGCATCACTGGCACCATATGCTGCGAGCTGGATCATCCTGTACTGTCTGACACGATGTGGGCGCATAGATTACACGGTTGAAAGATGCAGACAATGCAGCGGTGGACATAATTAACCCAGCTAATTAATCAGGCTTAGCACTGCCCTCTGCGTTTTCTTTACTTTGAATCCACACAAAGTGGGGCATGCAACTGATGAGCTGCCAGCACAGCACTGCTCTGCTAGTGCTCCGAGTAGATAAAGAAAACGAAACTGCTCTCAAAATCCAGGACAGTGAGATACGCTGCGGCCCCACGTTAGCCGATCGCTTTGCAAAGGGCTTTGCAGAGTATGAAGCGCATGATTACCTCTGCTGCTGCTGGTTAGTGCAGTCGATGATCAGTGGATGGAGGTAAAAATAGAATACTCGTCAGTAAAGCTCTCATGGCACGGTTACGAGAGAGATCAGCTCAGTAATATAAGCTCGATACGCTGCAGGCTGAAACGGGATTGAGTTCCGGGGGAGAGGATCTGTGCCTGTTCATGCGTGCGTGTACGGTGTACTCAGATGCAACCAAAAGTAGAGCAAGAAACTGTTGCTCCGTATCAGGTTCGGGGGGCTCTCTAGTATGTCTGCACAAGAGCTACTGGATTCAGACCATCTCAGTTTATGATGGCCGGCACAGCAGAGAGGTTTCTTGGATACTAACTGTTCTTCAAATTCAGTCGTCGCATAAGGAAAAAGTTTTTTTTTTCTCATGTAGAACACGCATGTTAGGTTTATTTTGAACCTTGTATGAAACCCAGAGGCACGATAAGGAAAACTTAAACAGATCCCGGGACTGGACAAGAAACGTTTTTGGTACCGGAGGCACCGGAACACTTTTCAAATTTTACTACCTGGGAGCCACTGTTCATTCCATGCATGCGTTTGTCACACTAACACCAAGGCACAAAAAAGTTACATTCTGTCAAGGAGGTGAAAATTCCTTTAGCCCTGCCTGCAAGTGCAAACAAACACAATAGAAGCCCCTTTTTTGCCCCCATGCATGTATGCAGGGTTAAAAAAATGTTTGGAGCATGTACTCCCTCCGTCCAAAAAAAAATTACAATTCTAGCTTTGAACGTCCGGAAAAAAAAGCAATTCTAGCTTTTCGTGTTCAGGTTCAAAACTAGATTTACGTTTTATTCTGGACGGATGGAGTAGTCTTGCAGAGGACCTAGGATGCAGTGAAAGGTATGTGTACACGGAGATCTGGGGACCTCTGAGACAGAGACAATCAGAGTTTCATTCCATGTAGGACCAAGCAGCAGGCAGCTGCTGATGAACAGCAAAGGAGAGTTCTGATGAGTAGAGTGGCCACAGCCATAGCCATAGGAGCAAGCAAGCATGCTCCCTGCAGAACCCAATGAAGGAGATAAAGGGGAAGGAGATGGGTGAAAAGAAGAGAATAGAGCACCCAAATAAAAAAGATGAAGAGGGGACCCAACCCAAAGGCCAAAGCCACTGGACTGTGCCCCATTAATTGCATTCTATTGCTTGCCCCCTCGGTCCAATGAGAACACCTGTGTACCTGAAGATTGACCGGGTTTAAAGTGCTCAAGCAAGCTGCATGCATACACAGATTTAGGTCCCCTTTGAAAACGAAGAATTTCACATGAGTTATACAAAAATTTCACAGACATCAGTTCATTTTCATTCGAAAAACATGAAATTAGAAAAAAAAATCCTGCTTTCTAAGGGGGTCTTATTTTAATTTGGATATGTTGCTTGCTTGTTATTTGAAAACTGATTCATGACTTGACACAAACAAACCTTAAGGGTCGCTAATTACCTCTTGTACGTTTTAGATAGATAAGAATGCCTCATTTTCAAAAATTTGAAAACATTTTCTAAAACTAGTTTACTATAACGTAGTGGCAATAATTAGTGGATTTGAAGAATTAAAGCTATGCTGTTTTGTTTACAAATTACACAACAGACGTCCACAAACGTGCACACATATATGTGCTCCTTATTTTCCTTTCTCCATAGGGTGTATTAAGAGTTGAAATAGTCGAATGTTGACATTTTTACCAACAAATACTAGAAAAGTATTCCATGCTTAATGTTTGAAAGTTGTATCAATGGCTTCATACATCACATATTAACCACTAATATATTTCCAAAAGTGGTTACAATAAGCTGAACTAAAATTGTGATATCAAATTCGAGTAGGGACGATTGCAATATTTTTGCCTATATGCTTGACAAAAAAAAGGATGTAAATTTTGACAAAAAGATAATTACACCCTTATTTACAGGCTATTTTGAGGCTGACTTATTGGACACGGTCTTGGTCCATTCATGAGAAGGAGACTGACCAGTCAAATTTGAAGTGAGTATGTCGGCTGTTGGAGACTACGACAATGGAGCTGCTAAAAAAAATTGATGGTTGTCTTCTTATAGGCTTAGTTTGTGATTATGCTCTTTTTTTTTAACTGTCATTATGCTCTTTAGGACACTTATCTTTTTGTTGGTTTTTTAGATCATCTCCTTAGCAAGAAAAACTTCTATATTGATTTTTGCAGCAATTGATAATATATTAGTAGTTATTGAATACTTTTCAATGTTTTTGTTTGAAATCCTGATATATATTATATAATGCTCTATTTCGCAGGGCTTTAGTATATATAGGGGCTTCTTCATCGGCTTAATTAAAAGCCCACCAAACGAGCACATGCGGGAGCAACTTTTGGACCCCGAAAACAATGAAACTGAAGCTAATTTCGGGACAGAAGCCAAAGCCACCAAAATGCAGCTTTTCTTGGTTTCTCCGTTTGTAGGGAAGCCCAAATCTTACTAAAGATGGTCTCAAGGCTGGGGTTTATGGCCCAGTTTTCAACGCACCAATATTTTAGAAACAGTGCAGAAGAGTTTTATTCCCATAAAACTTTCTCTACTCCTATGAATTTTCATCATCTCTCTCTTCATCAATGCAGTGCCATGTCAGCGTATTTAATGTCCATAAAACTCTATGAAACTTCCATTGAGATTGGTCTAATAAAAGAAATAAGAGGTTGCATGGGGGAATTTAACCATATTGGTCCAGTTATAGTGCTACCTGAGAGCTCGATCGCCCGCCGTATGGAAGTCCCATAACATGGTCTGCTTGTGCACTGGTGACTGATCAGTCGTCTGATGAGACGAGTAATTCCGCGAAGGTGTTCGACATGCATCGTGGAAAATAAAATATGTTCGGCATCGGATTCGCTAAGTAGGAGGGGACAACAGCTTTACCGGACGCGCGCGCCCTCATCAATTGATCGATGCATGTGAACTTACGACAGATATGCCAAATACTCAAAGAGTATGCATACCCCTTTGGCCTACATACCCATCCTGCAAGTATCCCCGGCGTATGATGAGACGAGACCACAGCTGCTGCTGCTGCTTTGCCTGTTTGTCCCTTTAACCGGTTGAGTGGTGGACACACACAAAACACAGACGACATGGGAGGTGAGTTGTGGAGTATGTCCATCTATCCATGTCAAATTGCCAATGGCATGCGTGCCTTCCTTGCAAACACTCACCCCGGACTAGGACTACTTCTAATTAAACAGGCTACCCGGCGGCATGAGCATGATGGCGCCGCTGGCGCCGCTCATTGCATGGCGCTTGCGCAGCCGCAGCACTCCATTGCATGGCATGGGCACTTCCACACCAGTGTTGGGGGGACGTTTGGTTGGGCAGGGCGCCCCCTCCTTCCTTTTTTCCCCTAAAAAAAGCACCCACACCCACACTCTATTCATTCCTTGACCGAGTAAATTATTCCTCTTCCCTCTCAACCCAACTCAATTGCCTCATGCTGCAAAGCCTCATGCTTTGTCGGCCCCGGCTCGGCCCCCTATGGCTAAGCTAACTGAGATTTCCTCTCTCTTCTATCCCTCGTCAGTCGTCACCATGATCGATAAGCAGCCTAGATAGGTGGCTGAAAGTGGCACTTTGGCAGTGCTATGCTATATAGCGCCCCCGGTGTGCTCGCCTCAGGAGCCTTGGAAGCAGCAGCAGAGAGCAGAGATATCGTTGCGTAGAGGGAGGAGGAGTGCTCCTTCGTTCGTTTTTGGCCAAACCAAAACGACGACCCGCCAGCTATCACTTGAGAGTTCAGAGCCGCGCACGCTGCCGGCCGGCGCCCAGCTCGATTTGCGGCGGCAGCAGCACCAACTCCCAAGCTCGCAAGCAAGCAAAGCAAAGCAGCAGTCACATACAGGCGGAGCCGAACCGGCCAATGTATTCTTCGTCGCCTGCTTGGGTGAAGAAGAAGCGCGTGAGAAGCCAAGAGCACAAGCCACTCTTTTGCAACTGCAGCTGCAGGACCTTTCACAGGCCGGTCATCAGCAGGACGCCGCACTGACGACGACGACGATGGCCTCCTATGCCCACCTCGTGCGCCTCCTGCTCGTCGCGTTTCTTGTTGCCGCCGGCTGGGGCTGGGCCACCGCGGCGAACGACACGCAGAGGTTCCGGCCCGGCGACGAGCTCCGGCGGTACAGGAGGGTGCAGGCGCTGCTCAAGAGGCTCAACAGGCCGGCGCTCCGGACCATCCAGGCACGTGCGTGCACCTCTCCTCCTCTGCTCTTGCATTGCTTGCTCTCTTTGTTTCGTTGCCGATGTGTCTGTGTCTGTGCGTTCATTATTTGCAATGACGACACTGACAGTGACCTTGCTTGCTCGGTTGTCGGCGTGTCTGTCTGTTTTCAGAGCCCCGACGGCGACCTCATCGACTGCGTGGCGGCGCACCTGCAGCCGGCCTTCGACCACCCAAGGCTGCGCGGGCAGAGGCCACTGGCGGACCCGCTGGCGAGGCCCAAGGGACACCACCACCGCCGCTTCCCCAGCAATGACACCACCGCGGACGCCGGCGTCCAGCTGTGGGCGGCGTCCGGGGAGGCGTGCCCGGAGGGGTCCGTGCCCATCAGGCGGGTCACGGAGTCGGACGTGCTCCGCGCCAGCTCCGTCAGGCGGTTCGGCAGGGCGCCCGCAGGCAGGGTGCGGCGCGACTCCGTCTCCGGCGGCCACGAGGTATGGGATCATGGGAATTGGGGGTCCAATCCCGCTTGCATTTATTCCAACAGCCTGACATCATTCAGATAGAAGCAATTGATAAGCTAGCTAACGTGTGCACCGCCGTCCCTGACGCATGCAGCACGCGGTAGGGTACGTGGCCGGCGACGAGTACTACGGCGCCAAGGCGAGCATCAACGTGTGGGCGCCGCAGGTGAGCACGGCGTCGGAGTTCAGCCTGTCGCAGATCTGGGTCATCGCGGGCTCCTTCGGCAACGACCTCAACACCATCGAGGCAGGGTGGCAGGTCAGCCCGCAGCTGTACGGGGACAACGCGCCAAGGTTCTTCACATACTGGACGGTGAGAACTTGCACTCGCTGCACGCACCTCCTCTGCTCAATTGCTCATCACCTCATGCATCTAGCATCTTGATCGAGTCTTGACTGCTCTGATCACCAACCACACCTGCTGACCTGCAGACGGACGCGTACCAGACCACCGGGTGCTACAACCTCCTCTGCTCGGGGTTCATCCAGACCAACAGCCGCATCGCCATGGGCGCCGCCATCTCGCCCACCTCCGCCTACAACGCCGGCCAGTTCGACATCAGCCTGCTCGTCTGGAAGGTAGGCATCTAGTCTCATCTAGTATGCGGTCCCCGCCGGTCCTAGCCTGTTCAATGGCAACTCCCTCCATCCCTCTCCCTGCACAGGGCGCAGGCGGCAGACAGCAGCACATCATTGCACTCCAGTCCTTGCTTTAGTTTGCTTCCTCCTTTCGGCTTTTCAAGTGCACGGCTTTTCACATACAGCGCGTTAGTTTTTTTTTACAAATGAGTATGATGAGTTGCAGTGGTGGAGCTGAATTTTCCTCCTCTTTTCGTTTTCTCTGTTTCATTCATTTCAAATTAACCTGAAATCTACTGGCTTTCTTTCAGGACCCGAACCACGGCAACTGGTGGCTGGAGTTCGGCTCCGGCGAGCTGGTGGGGTACTGGCCGTCGCTGCTGTTCAGCCACCTGGCGTCGCACGCGAGCATGGTGCAGTTCGGCGGCGAGGTGGTGAACACGCGCGCGTCGGGGTCCCACACGGCCACGCAGATGGGCAGCGGCCACTACGCCGGGGAAGGCTTCGGCCGGGCCTCCTACTTCCGCAACCTGGAGGTGGTGGACTGGGACAACAGCCTCGTCCCGCTCGCCGCCGGCTTGCACGTCACCGCCGACCACCCCAACTGCTACGACATCCAGGGCGGCGTCAACGCCGTCTGGGGAAACTACTTCTACTACGGCGGCCCCGGCAGGAACGTCAGGTGCACCTAGTAGTACTAGAAGCTCGTCTCGTCTCGTTACTTGATGACGTTGCAGCCATGCAGGGCACGGCATTGGCAGCCGGGGAGGAGCGAGGATACCTACCTTTTTGCATTGCTTCTCAAGACAAGAATCTGTATCTTTCTTGGTCTGGTTCTTGTCATTTCTTTCTTGTTATTATTTTCTTTTCCTTCCTTCCCACCAAAGGTTAATTAATTTCTCAAAAGGGAGAATCATGGATCATGTAGTTTTCTTTTTCTTTTCTTTTTTTTTCCTATTTTCTTGGTGGTCTGAAACAAAAGGGTGAAGGGTTCAGTGCCAGTTATTAAACGTAGTCCAATTCATCAGGTAGCGATGATCGATCGAGTTGTAATGTAAAAGCCCCCTGAACAATGTAGTCAAGCTAGCAGTATATACATGCATTTGTTTACTCCTTTCCAGTTTACCTTGCTTGCCTCTGACTCAAAGTCTTCGATGATCGATCATGAACAAAGAGAAAAAAAGAAAAAGAAAAAAACAACTGGGCTGTGCCGCGCTTGGACGCTAAGCAACAGAGCCTCATGCAAAGTCTTGTCGTTTCTAAATTCAAGCGAAAACAAATCAAGTACCTCGACCTCGAAAAGCTAGTAAAACTGTGTGCTGACATTTGAAGCTACAAGAAGCAATCAAACACCTCGGTGAAACAAAACAACCGATCGCATCTAAAGCGAATGTTACAGCTGCAACGAGGAACAAGAAAACCCATGAGACGACGGAATTAGTCGGAATGCCGTGCTGTATATTTGTAGCTAGAATCTAGAGCTGTGTAGCCTGTAGGGGGCCGGGTACACTGGCCAGTACTCTCTTCGTCCATTAAAACGTAATTATGGGAAACGTATAAAATAATATTAGTACTAGCAAATATGCCGTGCGTTGTAACGGGAAAAAATTCATCAAATGTTCGTGAAAACATGACGGTGGAAATTCTACGTATTTATTTATGTTTATTTATCTTTTCTACAAATTTTTAAGCTACAATTAATTATTTTATGACCATAACATCGACAATATAATATAAGTTAATGTTTATATTAATATAATAATGTCCTTATATGGATCATGCATTGGCCGATTAATTGCCATACATGTTGGTCACATGCCCGTATGCATATGCATGACTAGAATCCTGGTTTAATAAAAGCAACACACAGTACTTTAATATTAATTATATATCCAAATACAAAAATACGTGACGACCTTTATCTTCTCCTCAACTCTGCGTGCATCCATCCATCCCCTACCCTGCAACCTCTCTCTCATCTGTATCTCCCCATCCGAACTCTCCTCTCTCCACTTTCCTAAAAGTTGGTGTGTGCGGTGGCGACGCCGGTGAGGCTGCGATGCGCAACGGCGCGTTCTCCATCTGGTTCTACGTGATCCGGGGCGAGGCACGGTGATGAGGTGAGAAGGCGCTCTCCGTCGCTTGCCATGAGGGAGGCCAAGGAGGCCACCAGCAACATGGTGGCCGTGCTGTCCGCGTATGGCAGGAGGCGGCACAGAGATGGCTGGTTGCCGTTTTGTCCGCGTGTGCTGGATGGCTGCTTAGGGACGCGGAGGACATCGAGCGTGGTATCAATAGCATTGAGGGCCTCGCTATGGAGGACGACGTTGCTCCGCATCCCCATCCGCTTCATTATCGTCGATGCGCCGCTCCAATCACCGCGGCCCGACACTGTCGCTAGAAGGGCGGACGCGCACATGTAGGATGCCCAACTCTCGCTGCCTCTACAGCATCAACTCTGCCACGTAGCTCTTCGACGGCCGCCTCGGCCACCTGTAGCTGTCAACCGCCGCAGTCGATCTCTCCATCGTCTCTAGCTTCTCCTTCTCCTTCCTTCCCGGGCTGCCCAGTTAGGAACGTACGTGGGCGCATCGACATATATGCGCAGCAAAGGCGGCACTCGACCTCCTCTCCACGTCGTAGGCATACCCGTCGCCGGACCCTAATTCGCCGCAATTCTCGTCACTGCTCCGCCTGCCCTTTGCCACCGCCGACGCGGCCCTCCACGCTTTGTTGCTCGCTCTCGAGTCTGCTTCATCCAAGGTCGCTGACCTAGACCACCAAGCTCCTTTACCACCGCCTCCTTCTCGGCGACCTCGGACGCTAGCACTGGCGACGATGCCTCTTCACTCGCCTCGTGGCTCCTATTTGGGATTGGACGGGGCTATAAAGTTGAGAATTTATCATATCATTTTTGTGAGTCATTGTAACATTATTGTATTTGATTTCAATCCAATTTGGAGTTTGATTTTTATTTAAGTTGGAGATTTGTACGGTCAGGCAAGGAGTTTGCGGTGGAGTTTCCAACGTGGGGACGGAACCAGCAACTAACATGGGATTGGAAGTCCACACGCGTGACTCAGAGAGAGTATAGAAACCAGAATTCGAGTAAAGATCAGAGTTGGACAAAAATTTAGGGTGGCAAGAAATTTTACCTCTTTATTATTAGGTATAGATTTACGTCTCCAAATAAATTTATTATGAAAATATATTGTATAATAACTAATGTAACGATACTTATTTTGTTTTATGGGTATTAGTACTTTTCTATATAGTTGTAGTTAAAGTTTGAATTGTTTAATTCCTCGTGACATGAGAATTGCATTATTTGGTGAACAGAGGGAGTACACTGCAATTTTCTCCTTTATCTTCTTTTATCTCCCAGGGCATTTGTCCCTTCCTTCACGTCCAAATTACATCCATGCATGCATTCTGCAGAAAGCGGAAGCATCTAATCCACCGATCAAACCATTTTTCCCAGCCTTATTACACTCACATCTGCAGGACCTGGACCACCTCACCGATCGGTCTGCTCCCGTTCACTGCTACTGCTACTGCTACTGCTACTGCTACTGCTACTGCTAGCTCCTCCTAGAATCTACAGCCACAGGTGAGAAGAAGGAACATGGCCGCCGGCCACCGAAAGCGATGGCAGCCACAGGCACCTTCATAGCCGCCAAGCCAAGCCAAGAGTAGTGTTCGGAGCAGTGAGCAGTGCAGCAGCTTCAGGCCTTGCAGCAACCGTTTGTCCCATCATGTTGGGCGGTACCAGTAGCAGAGCATGCTGGACCTCCCTTAAAGTTTACTTCTTATCACATCAGATGTTTAAAATATGCATAGAGTATTAAATATAGAAAAAAAATAACTAATTACAAAGATTACGACTAATTTGCGAGATGAATTTTTTAAGCCTAATTAGTCCATGGTTTGACAATGTAGTGCTATAGAAAAGACGAAGGTCACTGAAAGTGACTGGACGCTGGTCTCGGTTGGACCGGCGCGTCCGGTCAGTGGCAGCAGAGAGCGTGTGTTTCGGTCTTCGACCGGACGCTGGCGCTAAAAGTGACCGGACGCTGGCAGGGTGTGTCCGGTCAGTGCTGACGTACGCTGACGTGAGGCGCACAGAGGAAACGTTGAGTGACCGGACGCAGGTTGTGTCCGGTCGAGCATGACCGGACGCGTCCGGTCGTGAAATGTCGCGTTTGGAACCTTACTGGAAACGACTGGACACTGAAGTCCAGCGTCCGGTCACTTTCTAACTGACGCGTCCGGTCACCACTTAACCGTTGAAACCGGGCAATCGGCGTTTGAAGCCGATGACACGTGGCGCATATTGCACGACCGGACGCTGAGGTCCAGCGTCCGGTCAATATGACCGGAGCATCCGGTCGGCCCGTGTTCAGTGCAGTGAGGAGCCCAACGTCTCTATTTCGTGGGGGCTTCTATTTAAGCCCCATGGCCGACTCAAGCTCACTCTCTTGGCCATTTGCATTGATATAGCAACCTTGTGAGTTTAGCCAAAGCCCTCCCACTCATCTTCATCATTGATTCATCATCTTTGTGAGATTGGGAGAGAATCCAAGTGCATTGCTTGAGTGATTTCATCTAGAGGCACTTGGTATTCGTGTTTTGCGGCGGATTTCGCTTGTTGCTCTTGCTAGTTGCCATCACCTAGACGGCTTGGTGCAGCGGTGGAGGATTAGCACGAGTTGGTGATTGTTCGTGGCCATCTCCGGCGATTGTGAGGGGATTTGTACCTTCTCCGCCGGAGCGTCGAAAGGTAACTCTAGTGGATTGCTCGTGTCATTGAGTTACCTCACTTGTGGGTAAGTTCTTGCGGTGTCCAATCGTGTGGACAAGGTTTGTGCAATACCTCTTAGCCACCGTACCACCAAGTGTTGGTCAACACAATGGGGACGTAGCGTGTTGGCAAGCATGTGAACCTCGGGAGAAAATCGGTTGTCTCTTGCCATTTGGCATTCTTTCGGTGATTGATTTCATCTTCATCTTGTGATTGGTTCATCCCTCTACACGGCGATATAATCACCCTACTCACTCTTTTATATTCTTGCAAACTAGTTGTGGCAAGCTCTTTAGTGTAATTAGAATTGAGAGCTTGATTTTTTATTTAAGTTCATCTAGTGGAGCTCTTTAGTGTAGCAAGATTGAGAGCTCTTAGTGAGTAGTATCATAGCAAGTTGTGTGTCTAGTAATCATTGCAACTAGAATTGTTGGATAGGTGGCTTGCAACCCTCGTAGAGCTAGAGCAAGTTTGCATTACGCTATTTGTCTTACTAATCAAATTGCTCTAGTTGATTTGTAGAATTTTAAATAGGCTATTCACCCCTCTAGCCATATTAGGACCTTTCAAGTGGTATTGGAGCCGTGGTCACCGTTTGATTAAAGGCTTAACAACCTCGGTGTCAAATTATGGCTCAAGTTGTGTTCAACCATATGGGGGCCAAACCACCGTTCTTTGATGGCACATGCTATGATTATTGGAAGAGAAAGATGAGGATGTATCTTGGTTCAATCAATGATCAAGTATGGGAAGTGACCGAGAATGACTATGCTATCATTGATCCTGATGATCCCACCAACCAAGATAAGATCAACAAGCAATGCAATACAATGGCTCTCAACACCATATACAATGCCATTGATTCTAAGGTGTTTGAGCAAATCAAGGATT